ACTCCGTTTACTGACATTGCTGTCTGCGCTTCGCAGTTCCGCGCCCCCAGGAACATTTCTCGGCGCGCCTCCAATCTGCGGAGCCGCACTCGGTGCCCGCGCTGGAGCTGCCCCCCCTCCCGGCCGCCCCGCCCGACCTGCCCCCGCTAGCCGCGGCGCATGCGCGCTGGACCGCGCTGGCAGCATTCCCGCCTGAGGTCCCGTGCTTGCGCATCTTCCCCGCAGCCAAGACGGACGAGGTATGTGCAGCTTCCTCTCTCTGAGCAACCCAGGAAGGTGCGGGGTCCGCCCCGCTGCCTGCGGCAGGTTGCGGGCAGTGGCCAGGGCCAGCGTGGCCCTGACGGCCCCTCCGGTTGTGCGGCTGCGTGCAGGGCCTGAGCGGCGTGGAGCGGTGGGTGGTGGAGCAGTGCTGCGCGGATGTGCTGCGCTCCTTCAACGGCGCGCGCAAGGAGTGCACCGTCGCGCTGGCCACCCTGCCGCTGCCCTTCCGCCACGAGTACATCACCGCGGAGGCCGTCTTCTCCCAGGTGCGCCGCACCCACCCCCTCCTTGCTTCGCCGCTGCCTTCCTGCGCCGTGTGCTGTGTGCCTGGTGGTGCTGGGGGCGTGCTGCGGGCGGCTGCGTGACGCGCGCGCGGTGGCTGCAGATGCTGGCGCTGCCGGCGCCGCCGTTCCGCCTCGTGTTCTACGGCGTGGTGCTGATGGACCTGTGCAAGGCGCTGCCGGCCGCGTTCCCGGCCGTGACCGCGCAGGGCATCAAGGCGCTGTACGGCCGCCTGCCGCAGCTGGACGTGGAGGCGGCCACGCGGCTGGCCCACTGGATGGCGCACCACCTCTCCAACTTCGGCTTCACCTGGGCCTGGGACGAGTGGGCCCCCGCCCTGGTGCTCCCCGCCTGGCACCCGCAGCGCCGCTTCTGCGCCGCCGTGCTGGAGCGCGCGGTGCGCCTGGCCTACTGGGACAAGCTGCGCGAGACGCTGCCCGACGCGCTGCAGCCCCTCATGCCGCCGCGCCCGCACCCCGGAGTGCCGCCCGCAGAGGCGGAGGGAGGAGGGGAGGCGGCCGGCCTGGCGCAGCAGCTGACGGCGCTCGTGCGCGACAAGAAGAGCAGCAAGGAGGTGAGGGCGGGCCAGCAGGGGGAGAACTGCCGTCTCCTGGTTCCACAGGGCGCCCACTCCGTCCGATGCCGCGGAGGGGTGGCAGGCCCCTCCGTTGTCTTTGCACAGAGGCTCACCGTGGCTCGTCTGTGCCGCAAAAATGCGGATCAGAGGTTCCCCGCTCGTCTGCTACTTGGCCCAGCATTCTCAAGCGCTGACGTGTGCGTGCCTGGCTGGCTGTGGCACTGGCGCAGGTGTCGGCGTGGCTGGACGGCGCGGTGCTGCCGGGGGCGGGCCTGGGCGGCGCGCTGGCCCTGGTGGCGCCCACACTGCTGGCCATCGGCGCCAAGACGCTGACGCACATGGTGACCATGCTGGAGCGCTACCAGCCCCTCCTCGCGCGCCTCGCCCCCGACCACTCCGCGCAGGCACACCTCGTGGCCCTTGCCGCAGACTTCTGGGCCGCCTTCCCGCAGGTGACCCCCCCGCGGCGCCTCACAGCACCCGCTTGCCGGGCCGCCTCGTTCGCCTAGCTTCCTGCCACCCTTGCCTCCTTCGCGCAGCCTCTTGTCGGCTGCAGTATGCGCCTACTGTCGCAATCGCGCTGACGTGCCCCCCCGCTGCTGCGCGTGCTGCAGATGGCGTGCATCTGCATCGACCGCCTGATGGCCTTCCGCCTCGTGTCCAACCTGGCCATCGCCGACTGGGCCTTCTCGCCGCCCCTCCTGCCCACGCTCCACACCAGCGACCTCGCCTGGGAGGTCAGCCCCCGCGTCCCCCTCGCTTGCCCCCCTGCTCGTGCCTGCCTGCACCTTGCCCAGCGCTATGCGATGTTCGCGGCGGCCGGCCGGCCCTGCTCTGCTGCGCTCCCTGCACCGCTGTGCGCTGTGCAGTGACGGGGGAGGGCGGTGTTCCTGCAGGTGGTGGGGAGGGCCCTGGCCCAGACGGGCCACCGCGCGGCCGACCTGGCCGCCAGCCTGGCCGACGCGCACAGCACCGCGGCGGCCGCGCAGGAGGAGGCGGCGCGCCTGGCGTCCGCAGTGGGGCTGGAGGCGGAGGGGGCGGCGCAGCGCGCGCAGGAGGCGGCGGCGGCGGCAGAGGAGGCCACGCAGGTGAAGGCGGCGCTGCACGCGCGGGCGGTGCAGGAGCAGGAGGTGAGGGACAGCCAGGCCGGCGGCCCAGACACGCTGCTCCTCTTCCGCTGCTCTGTGTGCTCCGTCCAGCATCAGGCAACCGGGCAGTGCGGGATGCCTCACCAGTCCCGCCCGCCAGACCGGGAGCCTTCCTCCTTGCCTCCCGGTGGATACCCTG